ACCCTCCTTTGTTCCCTTGCCCCTGACTGTCTGCTCCTGCTTTTGTGAGCTTTTTGTTCCGGGGTGATCAAACGTTAACACTCAAATCTATGTTTGTTTTAGTGGGTCTGCTCCTGTGTGTGTGTGTGTGTGTGTGTGTGTGTGTGTGTGTGTGTGTGTTTGTGTGTGTGTCTCGAGGTGTTAAAACATAATTATGTGTTTGCATGAAGCTTAGTTCAGCTTTTACCGTCCTCAATTAGCAGCAGCAACGTGCCCTCCATCTGCTACTGTACCAGAGAGAGAGACATAGAGAGACATAGAGAGAGGGACACAGGAAGAGAGACAGATGGAGAGGGAGAAAGAGAGAGACAGATAGGAAGAGACAAATGGAGAGAGAGAAAGTGAGAGACATAGGAAGAGACAAATGGAGAGGGAGAAAGAGAAAGAGGGAGGCAGAAAGAGACAGATGGAAAGGGAGAAAGTGAGAGACATACGAAGAGACAAATGGAGAGGGAGAAAGAGGGAGACAGAAAGAGAGAGACAGATGGAGAGGGAGAAAGAGGGAGGCAGAAAGAGAGAGACAGATGGAGAGGGAGAAAGAGGGAGGCAGAAAGAGAGAGACAGATGGAGAGGAAGAAAGTGAGAGACATAGGAAGAGACAAATGGAGAGGGAGAAAGAGGGGAAAAAGGGAGACAAAGGCAGAGAGAGACAGATGGAGAGAGGGAAAGAGGAAGACAGATAGAAAGAGACAGATGGACAGGGAGAAAGGGAGACAGAAAGAGAGAGACAGATGGAGAGGGAGCAAGTGAGACATAGGAAGAGACAAATGGAGAGGGAGACAGACAGGCAGAGAGAGATGGAGAGGGAGAGAGAGACAGATGGAGAAAGAGAAAGAGGGAGAAAGGTAGGAAGATGGAGACAGATGGAGAGGGAGAAAGATAGGAAGATAAAGACAAAGAGGGAGAGAGATGGAGGTGTGTGTTAGTGTTTTTGGGACAGATCCAGTGTCCGCTGCTCTTTAGAGGTCTGTTTGATCTGACTAGCCCAGCTGGGCAGTACAGCCATATTTATCTATCCCTGATCATCTGATATTGATGTATCAAAATCAGGAGCATCCAAAGTTTTTTGTCTCAGGGAGCCAAAAAGAGCTGCTCGTCAGCCTTACGCTCTCATATCAGTTTCTACAGAGAATCTGTGCTCTTTAAATCCCGACACACCTGTAAATTCACTCTGGGAGTCTCTGAAGACCCTCCTGCTCCTCCACCTGTTCAGCGCAGTCGGCTCATAACTGCTGGCTGCATGTTATTACGTCTGCTTTACAGTCAGTGATGAGATCTTATTTTATTTTGTTAAACTGTATTTTGGTATTAAAAGTACATCAGTGCAGAGTTTTAGCTGAACTGTCGCTTTAATATTTAAAGATGGAGACAAATGCTCAGAGTTCTGCTGCGTCAGGGTTTAACCCAGCGCTGCCTCACCTTCACATTAATCTGTTCGTCAGCAGTTTGAGGGGCGTTTAACACACACACACACACACACAGTGATGTACACACTCCTCCACAGCGGACTGAGGACACACTGCAGCTAAGAAAATGAGAGAACAAAAAGACTGGAGTGAGAGAAAGAGAGAGGAGATAGAAAAAAAAAAAACAGAATGAGAGTGGATTAAAAAATGGAGCACTACTGTCTCTCTCTCTCCCTCCCTCCCTCCCTGTCAGCGTATGTCTGTCTCTCTCTGTCAGTCTCTCTCTCTTTCTTCCTGTCTCTCTGTCAATGTCTCTGTCTGTCTGTCTCTCTCTATGTCAGTCTCTCTGTCAGTGTCTGTCTGTCTGTCTCTATGTCAGTCTCTCTGTCTGTCTATCTCTTTGTCAGTGTCTTTGTCTGTCTCTCGCTTTCTTTATCAGTCTCTGTCTCTTTGTGTCTATCTCCCTGTCCCTCTCAGTGTCTCTCCCTGTCTTTCTCTCTCAGCATCTCTCTCTCTCTCTGTCAGTTCCTATCATTAATCTCTGTCTTAGTGTCTGTCTCTGTCTGTCTGTAGAAAACACAACACCCCACTAACAACACTGTTTCTGCTAGTGGCCCTATAGGACTTGGTATATTAGCGTTAAGCTAGTGCTGGTTCAGATGAACATATTTGGCCGTTCTAGATTAAACATGGACATTTGAAGTTTGTAACAGCCATTATCATATATCTGAGCTTGTATGTTTCAGTGTTACAGTGACTATTTCAGTAAAGACTTCTCAGATGGAGCTGCCGCTGCTGTTTATCATTCCTAACAGCTAACTGGAACCTGCTCAGACTACGACTCGTATACACAGTCAGTTATCTAGAACTTTCAGAGGGACTTGAGAGACTTTTTTCTGGTTAGAGTGTGATTGGTTGATTTCTCTGTCACTTCCTAATTATGTTGGTAGTTAATTTAACATGCAAGTCCAGCTCCTGAAGTCCTAACCAATAGGAGAACAGCTCAGGGGAGTGAAACAGTCGGTTGTTTCTAGATCACTATAGTGCTTACAGTTTTGATGAAGGGTTCATTAGACGGTATTTATGAGACTGTTTGAGCAGCTAGCCTGCGTCTGAACCCGTATTAATCAGAGGCGAGTTAACGCAGGTCTTCCTCTCTGATGGCGTTCTCATTTAGTTTATACAAATAAGCCATCACAACTTTAGCATAAATGGCGCTGTGGTCTTCTCTCTATCACTCTCAGCATACAGAGACACAGCAGAGCTGGAGCTTCAGCTCACATTGAGGCACACTCTCTCTACCTCTCTCACTTTCACTCTCTCCTTTCTTTTCTGTCTCCTTTCCTTTCTCTCTTCCCTTTGCTTCCTATTGCACTTCCTCTCTCCTCTCTTTTCCCCTCTCTTCTTTCTTATCTCTACTTCTACACTCTCACCTTTTTTTGCTCTCTCTGTCCGTCATATATCTGTTTGTGAGGGTCTTTGTGTCTGCTGGGAATTGCAGTTAAAATTTGAGGTGGAAAATACCTCCACATTATTATCTTTTTTCATTGTCAAAATTTTTTTCTTGAAGCTGGAGTCATCAGCGTATTCTCACCGAGAGGTGTTTAGTCTCTCACTCTCACTTCCACACACTCAGATACACTCTCATACAGACACTGATAGTGAAATGCCTTGTTTCATGTTTAGCAGAGAATAACTTCACCACTGTTTCAAGTTATAATGTGGAGTTTGGTTAGGCAAGGCAAGTTTATTTATACAGCACCTTTCATACACTGCTGTCATTCAAAGTGCTTTACAAATGAGAAAATAGAGTCTGAAAATAGAGAGCTGTTTTAAAAAAAGTAAAATAAATAAATGAGAAATTAGAATAGAAATGAAAAACATGATTCAAACATGATTTAAACAATAGATTTAAAAGAGAAAATCAAATAATTAAAAACAAATTAGAAATTAACTTAGAATAATAAAGTACAGTTACAGAGGATAAGGGTCTAGAAACGCTAACAGTGTTTAAACTGAGCTGAATGCTGCTCGTTTTCAGGCTGGATTTAAAGTGTCCAGTGTCGGGGCTCTTCTAATGCTCTCTGTCAACTGGGTCCACCTGAATCTCTGCTCCAAAGTGTGCAGCATAGCACGAAAGCCCTGGTTCTCAACGGCTGAGAACAGACAACAGACAGCAGGTCACATAGCACCGAAGTCTGGCCTCACCAGTAGCGAATTAAAAAACAGAGATTAAGACGAACATTTGGAGGACTTGTTCGCATTTATAAGCAGCGCGGTTGGTTAAATCTGCAACGAGAGACTGTCTTTCTCTAAAAAGTTGCGAAAATGAACTCGCTTCTCTTTCGAATTTTCCCGTTCCACCTTAAATGGTGCAGCAGTTACATTCGGCGCCTAAGGCAGAATTTAAGGTGAAACGGGAAAATTAGAACAAGAAGCTGGCGAATGAGAAGCGACTTCAGCCTTGTAAAACAGCCGGACGCTGAGACATTTTACAAGAAACTCTTCTAGTTTTGAAGAAAAGTTTTCTGGCGGAAAGGGGAGGAAAGCGGCTATTAAAGCTTAAAGCAGAGTGAAGTAAATCTGCGCTCTCGTTTATATTTTTAGCCTATGCTAAGACATTATCACATACTGAGACATACTGGACATTAAATGTTGCAGCTCCCGAGGTGGTTTGACTTTGCTGAAAGGACAAAACGGCTCTTCTTATCATTTGTGTTGTGACTCCTGATCTAACCTGGCTTTAATGCCGAGGGCGCCGGTCGGATTTCTCCCTCATCCAGTAGTGTTTTTGTTATGTGCCGCCACAGACTGTCCACGCGCTGCACTTCCGCACTTCCAGTTCCGCCTTTTGCGTTCCGTCAATATCACGTTATAAATTAAATATTTAGAAAATCGGCAGTGGTTCAATTTAGAACCATGAGTTCTATATAGGGTCGTTTTATGCTTAAATGGTTCTTTGCATAATGAAATGGTTCTTCAGATTGATGGAGAATGTGTTGTATATGGTTCTATATTACCAAAAAAGGGTTCTTCTATTGTTACAAGCTTGACATCCTAACAGCAGAACCTCTGCTATATAGAACCACTTTCATAAACACATTCATTCACATTCATTCTCCATCAATCTAAAGAACCATTTCACTGTGGACAGAACCATTTAATAATGAAATTGTTCTATATAGCACCAGAAAGTGTCCTGCTTTTGTTACAATTTCAAGCTTTTAACGATAGCAAAACCCTTTTTGGTGACATATAGTACCACTTTCAAAAAGGTTTTAAATAGAACCATATACAACACATTCTCCATAAATCTGAAGAACCATTTCACCAAGCCAAAAAACATTTAAGCCATAAATAGAACCACTGCCTTTACTACCCTTGAAGAACCGTGCGGTTGTGAGTAAGAAAAGAGAGTAAGAAAGTTCCAGAAAGTGTCTCTCTTGTATGAAGAGTGTGTGTGATGTACAGTGTGTGTGTTATGCTGCAGTGTGGCTGATCTGACAGGTTGACATGTTTATATACTCTGATCATAAGCATGTTTTTGTGCTGTAGATGTAGACGAGTGTGCGACGCAGACTCACACGTGCTGGAACGACTCGGTGTGTGTGAACCTGCCGGGAGCGTTCGACTGCGTGTGTATCGCCGGCCCAGAATGCACTGGGGACTGTGTTCAAGACGACGGGCTGAAACACAACGGGCAGGAGTGGAGCCTCAGCCAGGACACCTGCTCAGTGTGCACCTGCAAGGTACATACATACATATACACATACATACGTAAATACGAGTGCCTTTTCCCTACACTCCTACAAAAAGATGGCTCTATAGTTAAGATGTCAAGCTTGTAACAATAGAACAACACTTTTTGGCGCTATATGGAACCATGCACAACACATTCTCCATCAAGCTGAATTCACCATGCAAAGAACCATTTAAGCATGCATAGATTTCTTTGAATGTTGATGGGTCTATATAGAACCATTTTCTTTACTACAGAATCCTTGAAGAACCATCTTTAAATGTGTAACTGTGAATCATTTATGAGCCAAGTGTTACATGCATAAATAAATACACACACACATATATATATATATATATAAATATATATATATATTTTTTTTTTTGCTGCGGTGGGAAGAAAACCACCCGGCAGCAGCAATATATTTCCACAAGAAAACATTCTATCTCCATTTTTGTTTTTTCAGTTTTTGACATAATGTGAAAATGCCTGTTGTGCTTTATGTTGTATGTAAATTTAGTTGGCCAAAAGAAATGGCCCAAAATTACTTGGAAAAAAGTCTGGTTCTATTGATTTACATTAAGAGTAAAGTATGTTTTTCCTTTTCCTGTAACATCCTTAATCCTTTAAAGTAACAGTGAGTGGACACAGTGTTTAAAAACTCCAGCAGCACTGCTGTGTCTGATCCACTTGTACCAGCACAACACACACTAACACACCACCACCATGTCAGTGTCACTGTTGGACTGAGGATGATCCACCACCCAAATAGTACCTGCTCTCTGAGGGTAAAATGGACAATGAGCGTAGAAACAAGGAGGTGGTCATAATGTTATGCCTGATCGGTATGTGTATATATGTATGTGTGTGTGTGTGTGTGTGTGTGTGTGTGTGTGTGTGTGTGTGTGTATATGTGTGTGTATATATATATACACACACACACATTAAGAGAAAATAGCATTAATCACACAGTCTGGCTGCACCAAATCCATCTCGTAAAGCATGTGACTATAGAACACCAAAACGTGTATTTTTACTGCAATTTTGATACTTACCATCAACAAAAATGAAAGGACAAAGATTATTGTTGCACTCCATAAAACATACAAAGTAGATTACTGCAGGTGCATAAAGCAAAAAATCTGAATCAAAATCAAGTGGGGCCGCACACTGCTGAACAATCAGACAAGATAAATATATATTTATTCAGTTAAATACAGTACAATAAGCCAGACACAAACCAAGCAAATGTTTCAGCTTCTTGCTGTTATCAGTGCTCATAAAACAACTCTCTCAACATGCTGTGTTTTTAAGACCCAAACAAGCTGCCTTCACCTGTGTACGTTCTGCTTGGGATGTCTTAAACTGACAATACAACAGCTAAACAATCAGAATCACTTTTTCACTAGTTATGTTACAAGGAATTTGTCTTGGTGAGTCACACATACGGCGTTAACACACTGAACAGACCAGACAAGACAGTATTAAACTAAGGGAAAAGTAAAATTTAGGAAACGGATAGCTCCAATCCTAAAATCTGATTGGCTGAGCCACGTTCGAAGCCATTGTAAAATGATATACGCATAGATTGAGGGGAGCTCAATCTGTGACTGTGAGGCAGTCATAGTGACTGTGAGGCAGTCAATATGACTGCCTCACAGTGACTAAACTCTGTATCACTGCACCACGGCACAAAAAACCCTTGTGTTGTTAATGAATTAGTCTTTGACTCTGTTGCAGCTCGCATGGAGCACAGAGTGTGTACTGAAGTACTGAAGTAAGGACCCGTTTTTTATTTAAAATGAGGGGCTAACAGCTTATTTTCTTAACTAGAACTAGGCTGGTCAGATAGCTAACAGGCTAAAGGATAGCCAACAGCCTAAACAACTCCCATCATTAATATCAGAGGCTTAAATGAAAGTACTTATGGTATGATTAACTGCAAAACTGCAATATAAAAGTCTAAAAATGTCACTTGAATGACTTACACACTTCAAATGTCTGTTTCAGTCAGAAGTCGCATCAAACCCAGACTGAGTCTCAAACAGCTCTGTACTCCCTAAATAGTGTGCTAGCTATGAAAGTTTAGAAATTCTAGCCTCTACAGCCAAAAAGTGCATCATTTATCGAGTGTGGATGCATCTGAGTCCCAAATGACTATTTCTTAGCTATATTTAGCACTGCTGGGCTGCAGGATCCAGTATTTAAACTTCTAACCCTAATCCTAACACTATGTAGGGAGCAGAGCGGCGTCTGAGATTCAGCCCCAGTGTGAGAGGAGGGGTGCCACTGGATTGGTGCTAATCAAGACTCATGGTGGTGGTAATTTAGTGACCAAAAAGTACTTATAAAGTGAAGGTTTTTGCATTAAACAGTGCTGTGTTAGATGTTCATTATTATACAACAAAAAGTTAAAAGGTTCATAAAATGCCTGCAGTATACAGGGATGGTCGACCGAACATTCTTCTCCTCATTCAGCTTCGCAATGATCCCATACTCTAAAAGAACTACATTTCTTGGTGGAATACTTATATATGTTGATTATTATTAATAATAGCCTAAATTATTTTCTGAAAAATTGTGCATTTTATTATATTTTATGTTGGCCACCGTTTTATAAAACATATATTTTGTCCCCATCTGGACAAAAATGGGAATTTGCACACTATTTTAAATTGGCTTTGCTTTGGCAAAACATTTAGGTGGTTCAGGATTTTTAAAATATAAATTTGAGAGTTAAAGAGAGCATTTGTCATGTTTGTTATGCACTGTGTAAAGGTATTGTCTTAAATATTAATAAAGAAAAAGTAAATTACTTCTTCAGCTCAAAAAATTAGATTAAAAAAATGCACTTATACAGATAGAAGCAAGTGCAGATATAAACAATGGCTGTAACAAAGTAAACAGAAAAGGAGTTTAGTTTTTTGATGAAATATAGGCTAATACTGCTGAATCAGAATCAAGGAATGGTATAAAATAATCGCATGCTGTGTCTTTTAGTGTAAATAACATGACGTTACTACAACACTAAGTGGAAATCAGACTGTGTACATTAAGTGTATATAGCAGCAATCCTGAATGGTGCAAACTGTTGGTCGTATCATCAGTTCGATCCCCGGTGATGCTACAGCCATCTGTGGCCAGGAGTCCAAGAGAGTACAGGTGTTCTCTCTCTCTCTGGGTGGACAGGATGCCCCCGCCCATCTCTCCCCATCACTGGCTGGCTACTCCACCATCAGATGGCTGCTAACACATCCCATAGAGGTGCTGATGCTAGCTCCAATGGTGGCAAAATGTTTGGTTCACTAATTCCCCTTCCAGAAAAGCTGGGTGAACCAGTCTGCTACAGTGCCACCCTGAGGCAGAGCAGTGCTGCAGCTTTAGTTAGTTAAGAAAACCAAAGACAGAAGCTGATTGTGGGTGAAGCAGATAAACAACGAGCTTCACTGAATCTGTATTTGACGATCATTTTCAGGGATCCCCCAGAATTTTTTATTTTGAGACATTCAGGAGGTCCCAGACCCCCCAGGACCCCCTTATTTTAAGGTAAAACTGTCAGCACTAGAGGTCGCTGGAAGCAAATCCCAGACCACTAATTTAAGAAGGACCGGAGATCGGTTCTCTGTTCTGTTCCGGGGCTCGAAAACAGCTTTGTGTTTTCTACAGCTGCTTCTGAGCTGAAAGTCATCAGGCGTTTGTTTTTACTCTGCATATTCTGGGTGTTTTTCAGGACGGACGAGTGTTCTGCAGGCGGAGAGAGTGCGACTGTGATGATCCGGCCGTGGATCTGTTCTGCTGTCCGGAGTGTGACACGCGTCAGAGCAGCCAGTGTTTACACCAGAGTGGACACACGCTGTACCGCAGCGGAGACTCGTGGGTTTACAACTGCCAGCAGTGCAGATGCCTGGTAAGCTCACACATCTACACACAACACTCACCCCACGAAAATAAGGTCCGGTTCTCTGGGCAGATCCGTCACAGTCCACCTGAAATTAACTCCTTCACCTCCAGCTTCACCTCCTAGAAGTCCAGCTTAAGCTGTTGTTAATGGCAGCTAATTTTGTAATAAATTACAGTTAATTCACATTCATAGAATCTGCACTTTCCACAGAATTTCTAATTTCTAATTTTAAATTTTCTTTTGGTTGATGTGTTCTCGCTCTGTGCCGGAGTCTGAAGGAAATTTTCAAACCAAGTGTGTAATGAGTGAGTTATGACAAAGCAATATAAAATCTTATTTCGATTTAAATTTGAAATTTTGAATGAAAGTGTAAAAATTGCATGTAATCCAATAAATAAATTAATTAATTAATTAATCATCAAATGAGCCATGTTAGGTTTACCCAATGTATAATTATACAGGTTTTCATCACTTTATACCAACCCAAACAAATTTTGTGGCATTTTTTCTCATCATACAATATATAGTGTAATTTGATATATTAATTTGTTAATTTACAGGGAAGAGGTGCCCTAGTACAAAATTGAAATCATACAAAATACAATAAAGAATAAGATGAGGAGGGGAAAAATTAAATACATGCATAGTAATAATAAATATAAAATAATTTAAATCAATTAGGGAAATTAATTATAAATATTATAATAAATACATATAAAAAAAAAATATACAAAAGAAACAGACACAATAAATTTCTAACAATGACTATGGGTGCAATGATTATTCGACTTAGTCCACTAAAATCTATGACCAAATTAGTTGGCAACTAATTTAGTAGTTGATTTGTTAGTGACGTCATTATGCGTCTTTTTTCCGCTCACTAGGAATGTTTTGACATTACCGCTCACTGGAGAGTTAACTAACAACAGTGCTATGGCAGCCTCAAGAACAAAATCCTTAAAAGTGAGGGAGCTAAACTCAGAAAAAAGGTTGTCAGTTGTGTGTTTGTAAAGCCAAGCTTAGCTGACACGGGAGCGCATGCTTCATGATGGAGCATCTGAGAAAGAAACACGAAGATTAATGTCAGTAAGATATGCTGCATCCCAAACCGCATACTAGCACACTAAATAGTGTGTAAAAATAGCGCATATATAATTATATTATTAGTGTAGTGTGTGAAGTACAGAAGTGTGTGGTTTGGGACGCGGCGATAGTTGTGCTAGTGAGCTAACTAGTTAGCTAATCTTAATGTTAAAAGCCGTCCTACTTCATGTTCTGAGCTGAGCTGTAACATTTTCTATTTCGAAATGCTGCTCTCTGGTATCATTAATGGAGTTGGAACAGAGAAGCAAGTAACTATTATTCACAGCGACCCTGTTCACTTTCTGGATAACGTTTACACTATTAAACACTGCATCGTCGTCTTAACGCTGAGGCCGCCGGTGCATTCAGATTCTGTGAACGTTTGGCTCCATTCGCTAACAGTTTAAGGAGGTAAAGTTAGTTCTCAGCGGACATACAAGGCAGCTGGACGAAAGGTCGCTGCTGAAATGAAATATTTACACAACGTCGTTCAAATTTAACTGTTCATAGAGAAGTTTGCCACAAACATTCGGCGCTTTCCCATCCGCTCCATCAGAGCGCGTCTCCTCTGCAGTGGGGGAGTATCCGCTCTCACAAGAGAGCGAGACTCTCAGAGGAGCCCGGAGAGATGCTGACTTTCCTGTGATTGTAGAATTTAGTCGCAACAGATTGCAGACAGCAGAATGAACAGGGCACAGAGCACAGTTTATATTTAAATTTTAAATTTAATGAAACAAACAAACAAAAAAAAACAGTTTTAAACGCTGATGGCTACACAAGTGTTATTTGGAAATATAGTGATTCATATTCCGAATAATCGATTATTCGTTTCGGTAATCGATCGATTATTAGTCGTTTGTTCCAGCCCTAACAATCACAGTTATCCAAAAGCACTGAGTCAACTTTTTCATTAAAAATACTTAATGTGATGAGCTCTGCCAACCTAAGTTTCTGATTTAACCCTTCTGTGGTGTTCATGTTTTTGTTACTTAGTGGTCTGGTGGACCCACCACATTATTGTTTTTAATTAAATCAATACAGCCATAACAATTTGTATAAAAATACCATCTGTTTAAAATATCACAAATGGCCAGCGTAGGGTTCTCCTTTAGCAGCTGCACCCAGTCAGCAGCCTGTCCATGTTGTCCACCCTCACACACACACATATATATATATATACAAACACACAGACATACACACACACACACTAACAGCAGGTCATGTAGGAGGAGAACAGAGTGAAGGACACAGCACCTCCACACTTCTACTCCCTCCGGGTTCAGCCCAACACCACATGTGTAATATAAATGTGTAGGGGGTGAACAGTGTGAAGGCACTGAAAATGTGTTATATGTTCTTCACAGAAAATGAGCAAAGGCCAAGGAATCAGAGGTAATAATAAATCACATGATTTTTTCTTTTGATAAACATTGAAAATGGGTCCCACAGACCTGAACACCACACAAGGGTTAAAATATTCAGTGTTAGTTGCACTAAAAGCAAGAGCCTTTTTTCCACTAATTCTGAATTCACTCTTGGATGTAGATCTAGAATGTGAATGGTCATTGGAGCCACTCTGATTAACAATGAGCTTAAATAAGTTGGCAGCTGCTCAAGAAGTATTTTATGAATAAAAATAGCCTGAATCATATATCTTCTGTTAGATAGTGAAATCCATTGAACATCAGAATAAAGATCACAGTGGTGAATCTAATTAATGAACGTGAATGGGTTAATATGAAATTACACCAGGCTTTTTTTGTCAGCAGTGGTCCTAACTAAGTTCTAAGAGTTAAAACGGCACAGTATCCTCCAGCTCCCATTATATATATTAATAACTTTCTGTGAGGGAGCTTTAAGAAATGGATGTCTGGGGTCATATTACAGAAAGTTCTTAACTCTGAAATTCAACGTGTTTAGTCTCCATGACTACGTCAGTATGGACTGAATATTACAGAATAACAGCTCCTAACTTCATAATCTCATCATTGACTCCAGATAAGTGTCCTAACTTCTGTTTAAGCGTCCGTTTCTATGGTTTTTAGGCAGCTGTGTCAGGCAGCATAGTTCACTACTAGCATAATGGCGCTAAATTTATTTATGCTGTAAAACGCTGCTTTCACTGTGAGACGTTTTTCTATTCGAACTCTGCATTTTAAAAATCTCAAACGCTGCAGACTCGATCTCCACCGTCCCTCTGATTACCTTTGTGTGTTAATATTGATGATGAAATGTTACAGTGATGGCGGTGAATAATGAGGAGCTGAACGTGTGTCTGTTAATTAGGAGGAATAACGTTCACTGTATTCACAGCTTACAGTTTATCACACTTTAGTTTAACTTTAGGCTAACTAACTTTATTATACTGATTACTTGTTCGCGTTTCAGTAGTGTGTGTATGGTCGGTTGCTAGATAACAGACATGACAGTTTATTGTTGACTTAAATTGAGTAGGTTAAGGTTTCCTAACTGGAGATAAGGGGCTGTAAGATAAGATTCTTAAATTAAGATCAGATTTGCTTCTGTAATATTAATTTGTGAAAAAATATCTTGACCTGTCAGATCTTAAGAAAAAAGAGTATGTTTCTGTAACCAGCCCCAGAATCTTATCACCACCACTGTTAACAGTTCTGACTTGGTGTCTCTAGAACGGAGCATTTCACACCAAACTACTAAGCCAGTGAAATAAACATTTATGTTAGTGTGAATAGCTACCATGCTGAACACAGACCAGCAAGCATTTCATGCTGGTCTAAGCTTGTTTAGCTGGTCACCCCACCATGGTCATGCTGGTTGACCAGCATTCCAGCATCCAAAACACAACATATGCTGGTTTTGCTAGTGACCAGTATTGCTAGTCTATGCTGGTTTTTCTAGCAGGGTAAGTGTGTAAAAGATGACCTGATTTCCAAAAAGTGTTTTTATTTCCATCTTTTACCATTTCAGAATAACAAAAAAAGGAAAAGGACCTGAAACAAAAGTTTGGGCACCCTGCATGATCAGTACTTAGTTACCCTAAGTAACTTAAACACTGCTCTTTTAGGTGATAGGGCTGGTTTTAAGAATCTAAAAAAGCAGAATAAAATGGATATTTTCATGTTGGATGAGTAGCAGAGGCTGCCTCTTCAGATGAGCTAAAGCTACAGCTAAGTGATACAACACTGGGTGCTGATAAAGAATCGTTGTCGTACGCAAGGTACTGTCTTCTCAGTGGAAAAATCTGCTAACATTAGATTGTCAGAGAAATAAATTTCTGGGCCCAGCTAACATCAGCTAGAGTAGTTAACCTACAGCCATGCTATACCATGCAAACACCTTCTCTGTCACGTCCTTTACAACATGCTCAAGTTAGACACTCGTTTCAGAGTGGCACAGTGTAATATACATGTATACTTACAAATACAATATTTTAAAGCCCTGTTAAAATATAAAAGTGGTGTTTATTTAAATGTTAGCCTGTATATTTTCCCTGTCTTCTGTGCTGAAACATACAGAATGCCTGAATAGTGATGTCAGTATTTGATAGGGGTGCAGAAAAAAATCGATTCTTAGATGCATCGCAATGCGGACGTGAACGATTCTGAATCGATTAACAAATGTCAAAAAGCGATTTTCTAAATATTTAATTTATAACGTAATGTTGACGGAACGCAAAAGGCGGAACTTGGAAGTGCGGAAGTGCAGTGGACAGTCTGTGGTGGCACACAACTGGATGAGTGAGAAATCCGACCGGCTCCCTCTGCATTAAAGCCAGGTTAGATCAGGAGTCACAACCCAAATGTTAACATTTTGTCCTTTCAACAAAAATCAAACCACCTTGGGAGCCGCAACCTTTAATGTCCAGTATGTCTCAGTATGTATTAATGTACAAGTATAGGCTAAACAATATAAATGAAACGCAGATTTACTTTGCTGTGCTTTAAGCTTCAGCTACAGCCGCTTTCCTCCCATCTCCACCAGAAAACTTTTCCTCAGAAGTAGATCAGTTAAATGTCTCTCAACGTTCGACTGTTTTACGAGGCTGAAGTCGCTTCTTATTCTCCAGCTTTTTGTTCGAATTTACCCGTTCCACCTTAAATTCTAACTGAGGCGCCGATGTAAATGCGGCACCATTTAAGGTGGAACGGGAGAATTCGAAAAGAGAAGCTGACTTCAGCTTCGCCACTTTTTAGTGTGTGACAGTCTCTCGTTGCAGACTTAACGTACCAGGAAACCAACTGCGCTGCTTATAAATGCGAATAACGCATTGCTGCTTTGTGACCTGCAGTCTGCACGCCGGTTCTCAGTTGTTGCGCAACAGGGCTTTCGCGCTATGTTGCACACGTCCCATCTCAGGGATATTTTACTGACACAGCGATCCCCCCGTCTCTACAACGAGACCAAAACCAAAGTTATAAAATCACTAAAGAAAACGGGTAGAATAGCTGTAGCATGTGCTGCGTGGACATCCATTGCCACTGGATCTTATTTCACCGTAACAGCGCATTTTATCACAGATGAGTAGCAGCAGCTTCTCGTGCTCCAAACAAGAGCACTGAATGAGAGCCTTCTAGTTCACTTGCCACATCACTTCCATTTGTTTAAATAAAAAAGATATTGGAAGTAAATTCATTATGGATCATTACAAATACTTTGCTTTAAAAGTACCAAGTCACTTTAAATAACAACACTGAGTCACTTAGTCACTTTAAAATGTATATTGTCTCTATATTCTGTGTATATTTTGTGTATATTTAATATATGTCAGTTGGTTTTTCTTGTATTTTTATTTTTACTTATTTACTGTCTGTAGAGTGATTAGCAGAGCCTCACCACAAGCATTTCAATGCATAAATGTCCTGACATGTTGGGCAAATGACAAATAAACTTGAAACTTGAACTCAAAACTTGAGCTCACACAGTGAGAAAATATAAATGCTATATAGAAAAAAAAAGATGCGTCGAGATGCATCGATAATCGTTTTATAATCGCATCGCAGCCCTCTGAATCGTAATCGAATCGAATCGTGAGGTGCCTAGAGATTCCCACCCCTAGTATTTGAGTACTGGCACTTCAAACAGTTAAGGTACCCGTGTACATCTCTAACACTGTTATCTATAAACATGGACCACAGTATGGATGTAATTCAGGCTTCAGGTTGCTTTTCCTTTTCTGGTTTGTTACATTTGCTTCGTAGCTCCCATGTCATCCAAACTTTTTATCATAATGGCGGTCATGTGGTCCATCACACTCAGCAGCAAGTTTTGCAGGGTAATCAAATGCTGATTAGCAATTTCTCATTCCATCTTACTCAGCCATTCTACAGTTTTAAGACTGATCCATATTCATGTGTATGTAAATCAATACAGGGTATGATAATGGTCAGTAAGTGCTGCATCTTAGTGTAGCAGTCTGTAGCATCTTGCTGAACATTTAGAAAGGGTTTAATGAGCACAGATTTTTCCGAGTAAAAACAAAGTTTCAGAAAATTGATGCTAGCTAGTGATGCAAAGGCTGGAGTGAATAATGATCTGATTATAATTCGTGTGGAACATAATGATGGACTGTAGAAACATGCAGTGTAGGAATTTTGACAAAGCCTTTTGACCCTTAACTGGCTGGTATTAGTTGGTGATGACAGTAATGTAGTCGACTCACTCACATTTACTACACACCAGTCCAAGTTGATCAACATGTATGGCCTGACTGGGGCTGGCGTGACGTTCATATCCATAGTTTAAACAGCAAAGTTGATGGCACTTGTTAAACTTTTTTGTCACGGTACTAACTACACACTAACCATTTAGGTAATAAACACATTCGTAGGCTATAGTGGCTACACAACAGAAGCAACATGATGTTTTAAAAAGAGTCAGCTGTAGCCTAGCTTAGCACTCTAAATTTTCTAGTTGCGATTGTGCTGTAAACTACATTTAGGCCTAATCCCATGTCACCCCTTAGCCCTAGCACATAGCCCTCCGTTTTGAGCGTTCACGTCTAGGGGTAGGTTGTCCTGATTTTTGTTGAGATAGAGGGCTAGGGAGAAGTGTTAAGGCTACATGGCCCTCCAAACAGGTTTTTCAGAGACTCCAAACAGAGTGTTACAAGAAAAAAAGAAAAACCGGCAAGATGGCTGCACAAGCAACCAAAGAAACCCAGAAATGTGAGAATTTTCTCTGTTAAAAATTACGATAAACATTGTATTATCTTAGTTTAATGTTGTTTCAGTGTCTTATGGTCCTTTCTTCATAACAAGCATAAAAATCTCTAGTAGTAGTGCTGATGTCTCGGTAGTTAGCTAGCTAAATTATGTGTTCCACCTTAAACAGTCCAGTAGTACTGATGCCTGAAGCGCCAGAATGTGACTACTGCTGGTGAATAGCTGACTTCAGCTTCATATCACTGAAGAATTAGGGATGAGCGATAATAAATGATTCCCTCTTTGAAGGCATATGATTCCCTAAATGTAACTAAAGCCCAGCGGTGAGGTTGCTGAACTTTACCCTCCGTTATCACTGCAGACTGACAGGATCGCCTATAGAGCAGCGCTAGTAGCCTGTGAATGAAGTAATGTTTTTTTTTTATTTATTTTAAGACAAAATTCTCACTTTTCTGTAATCTTCCCACAAATTCTAATGACCAAAAATTAACCAATAATATGATATTCCGCCTTCCATCCCGACCCATCAAGGAGAGAAAACGCTCAGCTAGCTCAGAGATCCTTGCTGATAATAAGCTTAACTCGCAAACACATCAAATTATGTAAAGACAATACATTGATTTCACGTTGAAGTAACTTCTCCCTCATAGTTTGCTGAGTGGAAAAAATGTGTGGAAAGTGCAGGTTCTAAACGTTCAGTCCAGACCACATCTGTCTGTAAGCAGAGGAGGAGAAATTTTATTATTCTTATTATTATGTATCTGAATTTGCTAAAGCAAAGTCAGAAGTGCAGACCTGAACCTGCCACTTTAGAACAGAAAAGTAATTTATTATATAACTATGTAACTGTACACACTTTGCATGATCAAATTGTTCTTTGTATGGTGAAATGTTTCTTCAGGCCAGCCCTCATGGTGGGTTGCCAGATTTTCAATTAATTCTGTAATTCGGATCCCATAATGCACAGCTCGACACGCAGCAGGGCTGAAATGATGCCTTTAATTGCCGCTACCTGCAGGCCGGCAGCTGATTGTTATCAGCGAGGAAATGCTTTGTGGCTTACTGGGTCACACACTGCAGTTATTTATCTCTCTGTCCTGAAGTGTTTTCAGTCACATGGAGGAGGCAAACTTCTAAAGACACTATCAGATCAGCCATCTCTGCCACATCCATCTCCTGCCCTCTCTTTATCTCCTTCACGGCCCCTCCAGACACTTCCTGTCCGTCCAATTTCATCACTCTGTCTCTTCCTCGCTATCCTTTCTTCTGCTTCACAAACTAACTTCACCCAGTCAGATGCGCACCAGCTCAGCTTGTAGGGAGATTAAAAAGAGATTATTTTAACCCAATCAGAGATAAAGGCCTAACAAGTTCCAGTATGGACTATTTCCTTATCATACACTAAGAGAAAATCTGTTTATTACATGCTTTGAATGTGTCAGGTTGTACAGAAAACAACAAACATTACTAGTATTGTAAGCAATTCTAAGCTTTTGAACGGGAGTGTCTGCATGTTTGAACATACACTGACATCCTCTACAGAGAACACACGTAAATCTGGCATTTTTTCTGCACATTTTTATTTATTTGCTGATTTTAACATATTGGAAAAAATAAAACTACTCCACTTTTGCACAGGCCACAATTTATTACACAACTTACAGTTTAATCCCCCCCACCTGTTAAATTTCTGCAAATAAACAAGAGCTGTGGATTAGAATGTGTAAAAGTGTGTTCTGAGACTTATTTTCACCTAGAAAATCAACATGACATTTGACCAGGGCCGCCAAACTTTTGCATACAACTTTTTCTAATATATATATAAAGTACACCTCTCTCTCTCTTGTTCTCCTTTTCTTTCTGTCTCTGTCCTCATTCTCTTCCTCAATCTCTTTATTTCTCTCCTCTCTATTTCCCCCTTTACTCTCTCTTTGTCATTCTTATCCCTGTATCTTCTCTCTCTCCCTCTCCTCTATAATTCTCTCTCTGTAGGAGGGTGAAGTGGACTGCTGGCCATTGTCCTGTCCGGTGTTGCCGTGTGAGTACACCGTGGTGTTGGACGGAGAGTGCTGCCCTCGCTGCGTTTCTGACCCCTGCCTGGCCGATAACTTCGCCTTCGACATCAGGCAGACGTGCCGTGACCCGATGGGCGTCACCCGGCTGAGCGGTGCCGTCTGGACCACACCCACTGCCCCCTGCACCACCTGCACATGCAAGGTAAAAAAATAAATAAATAAATAAATAAAATCACAATAAAAAATCACAATCAAAACACTTTAACCTCAATATCTACTCTCAGACTTGTCTATGTTTGTGGTGAAGACCTGATTTACACAGAATATATTTTTATCTATTTTATGTTAAAATGCTTTATAACATCACTGTCCAAAGAAAAACAGGTATCTCAGTTTTTTCGACTTTCTTGTGTGCATCATTTGAGTCCTTTATATTGTGTGAAAATTTCATGACGAATGGACCAATAGAAATGCTCCAAAATTTCTTGGAATAAAATCTTTTTACATTCACTTACATTAAAACATTTTGCCCTCTCTTGTAAAAGTAACATTTTGGACATATTTGTTTTTCTTTGGACAGCGACAATATGCTAGAGTTTATACACTATAGTATTTCTACTGTAATATATTCACTATAGTACTTTAACATACAGTAAATATAGAACTTATACATGCTGTAGTTAATATATACTACTTTTACTGTAATATATTTACCATAGTACTTACTTACACATAATATATACTATGGTACTACTAAAATACATATACACACTATAGTACTTTACTATACATTTACTATTGCGCTTTATTACATATACTACAGTACTTCTACTGTAATATATCATGGTGAATCTATGCCATAGTACTTATATATTTACTGTAGCACTTTCCACATACTATAGTTAATATCTACTGGAGTACTTTATAACATGCTATAGTTAATATATACTATAGTAGTACTGTAATATATTACACATACTATAGTTGGTATATACTATAGTACCTTTTCTGTGGATTAACTATGGTACTTTATAACATAGTACTTAGTATATACTACTTATACTGTTTTATTGACTATAGTATTTTACTACATATACTATAGTACTTTAATATATTAACTGTAGTGTATGTCAAATGTCCTATCCAGGCTCCGCCCACAAATGTGTTCTGTAGTAGCTGCTGTTGTGAGGATGGACAAGCTTTAGAGACCACTGCTTTAAAAAATGCCATTAAACTTAGTGAGAGACTGTTGAACAGACTCAGATTATATCACAGTACCTACATTTAGAGCCAGTTATCCATTCAGCCTAAAGAGAAACTGTAGAACAGACTCAGCTATTTTTACATATTTGTGGGCAGAGCCTGGATAGGTCAACTGATTCACATGGATTGTACATATATAATTTTTTTAATGTGGCAAATATTGTGTAGTGTATGTGTACATTATTTACCATGCTACAGAAGTCATATCCCATCCAAATCAGTTGTTCAAGCTTGCAAAATTTTTCATACATGGCCTACAACGGCACTCGCACAACATTTATAATTGCTGACAGACGTCAATGTATTTGATTTAATAGTTCAGTAAGGCTTCTGTACAGTTGTGTACAGTGTGTAGGAGAAATGTGTGGGAGAGAAACTACAGTGTTTATTCAGCAAAGATGCACCACAGAAACGATGTGATAATTAGAGTACACTGCATTTAGAGCGATTACATTTAAACAGCCTATAAATGGCTGTCTCTGTGTTAGCCAGCAGTGCAGAAGATTGGATTCACAAATCACATAAATAATAATTTGTTCAATCAAATCTTACACAGTGAAGACAAGGGCTACACAAAGTGGGGCCTGCAGGTCAATATTGGTCCACCAGAAAGCAACTCTTAACCCCACCCTACACACACACACACACACACACGGCTGCTGTCAGAAGAAAACCTCTCCATTTTTTGTCGTTTTTCAGTTTTTGGCATAATTTTGAAAATGTCTGTTGCTCTTTACATTGTGTGTAAAATTCATGATGAAAGGACTAAAATTGTTTAGGACAGTAAAAAAACAGAACAACAGGTCAACTACCAGCTGCTCCTTCAGGATGGAGGCGGAGTTGTGAAAGCAGAGATGTCGGCAGGTTTCAGGAGGTAGATTTAGCAGCTGATGGTAACGGCGTTTACTTTAGTTCATTTGTAAACGAATAAACATGAACGTTTGGATAGTGTGTTCCAGTAACATTCTTCAACAGTAACTTCACGTCTCTGAACTCATCAGGGCTGAAGTGTTTTTGGTAGCTGCTCCGTTTCGATTGGCTTTCAGAACTGAATCTTTTAAATTTAACAGGCTTTGTGAGATAAAACGCCTATTTATTTTTACTCTGTAATGGTTAGTAAAATTAAAGTAGCGAAGTATAAGTACTTCAATTCTGCTCAAATGTAATTCACTACTTTGCATCTCTGAAGTGTAGCATCATATCAGGATATAGTCACTGGGAAGTCAAAATGTAAACAAATTATGGACTCATCAGTGAATAGTCTGAGAGTCCGAAAGTGCTAAATGTGGGTGGTTGTGTTTTATAGCCAGTGTGAATCCATTTTTTAAGTGTGCAACTCCTAAATGCGGTATCAGTACAGCAGATATCACAGGGTATATACGTTTTTTTCCTTCTCATTTTGGAGATACAAGGTTTTGTTCTGACAGCAGCGATTTTATATATATATATATATACACACACATACATACATACATACACACACACGTATACACACACTGCACTTGCGGTTATGGACTGTTATGGTTCAAATGTAATCACTGTGAATGCAGTGTTTTCTAATTATCACATCGTTTCTGTGGTGGATCTTTGCTGAATAAACAGTTCCTCTCCCACACATTTCTCTTGCACATCTCTTATCGTACAGAAACCTTACTGAACTACTAAATCAAAACGTATCAACGAGTGTCAGCAGTTATAGGTGCTGGTGTGAGTGCAGTTGTAGGCCGTCCATTAAAACAGTGCTTTACAGTTAATACAGGAGGGTGAACAATCAACTGGGACGGAATATATTGCAAATAGAGCTGATGGACGGCGATGTTTCTTGGCTTTTGTTGTGTAATATAACTCACCTTATCCTTTCCTCTCCTGCTGTTTGGGCAGAACGGCAGCATCTGCTGCTCAGTGGAGCTGGACTGCCTCCAGAACAACTAGCCAGCGTATATTCCTTTCTTCTGGCCCGCTTCGTACCTCCTGGACTCCACGGATCATCAGAAGCCTCGGGAGAGTTATTTTATTTTTTATTTTTTCTGTTTTTCCCCTCTCCAGTCCCACTGTTACCATCAGTTCCCTCTTTATCCAGAATGATTTTTGTTGTCTTTTGTTTTGTTTTTTTTAACCCCCATTTTGCAGCATTTCTGTTGAAGCAGATGGGGACAGACTGTTGCCAAAGGCTTCGCAGGAGGAGAGGCAGCGGCCTTTGAACTAAAACACTAAGACTGAAGAGAAATCTTATTATACCAGGAGTCCCGCGGGCGTCCAGCCACTCTCCACTTCTGTGTGTGTGTGTATGTATGTATGTGTGTGTGTGTGTGTGTGTGTGTGTGTCCTAAAATCAGGAACAAAAGCTCTCTGGACAAACAGAGCAACACTGGTGGACTGTGAACTGTCCGAGATTTGTACAGTAGCCATCGTCCTGTCCGAAACAACACATTTTTCACTTTGTCGTTTGGTGGCATAATGATGTACCGGATTGTTTCTGAACAACGCGACACGCTTACTTTCTCACGCTTTTCTAAAGTTGCTGTGCTTTCACCTGTGAAGGGCCACAACATTCGAGGGTTTAACCTTTAGAAATCCAGAGTTATTATTGTTTTGTTATACATTTGATTATGTAACTGCACACTAACAGCTTCAAGTATGCATGTCTGACTTTCCAAATAAGCAACAGCCCTAGGCCCAATCCCACTTCTTACCCCTTACTTTTTACCCCTACCACTTAGTTCCAAGTGACAAGGTGAGACTTGAAAACGAGTTACAAGCGGTAGTGGTTGAAATCTTCCCTCCGAAATGGGACGCTCAAACAAAAAGAACATTACTTCATTAACAGGCTACTTGCGGTGCTCTGTAGGCAACCCTGCCAGTCTGCAGTGATAGCAGAGGAGGGTAAAGTTCAGCAACCTCAGTGCTGCTTTATTATCGCCCACCCCTAATTCCTCAGTGATATGAAGTTGAAGTCAGATATTCACCAGCTTCTTGTTTGAATTTTGCCGTTCCACTTTAAATAGTGCAGCAGTTCTGATGCCTGAGGCAACAGAATGTAACTGCTGCGCCATTTAGGGTGGAACGGGAAATTTAGCTAGCTAGCTACCGAGACATCAGCACTACTAGTGAATTTTTTTATGCTTGTTATGAAGAAAAGGACCATAATACACTGAAATGACATTAAACTAAGATAATGCAATGGTTATTGTAATTTTTTAACACAGAAAATTCTCACATTCGTGAGTTTATTTGGTCTCTTGTTCAGCCATCATTCTGTTTTCCTCATTAACACTCTGGAGTGTGTCTCTGAAAAACCTCCGTTTGGAGCTCTAACACTTTGCCCTACCCCTCTATCTCAAAAAGAATCACGACACCCTATGAGAACACGCAAAATGGAGGGGTAGGGCTGAGTGGTGGGGCAAGGGGTGGAATGGGATTGGGCGATAGACTATCATTCGCTTTTTTAATTTCTAGTCAAAAAAAGCAGAAAACATTTTTAACACTCACACAGAAGCCTCACTAACTAAGTCTAATCTCAGCTGTTTGAATGTTCAGTGAGTCACTCTTTACCTTTATTATAGCTTCCATTCTTTCCCGGAGACTCACTTTCAGTTTCTCAAAGAAATCTGCAGACACACCTCCCAAGTTCAGTCTTAGAAGCTGGTTGATCATTTTCTGAAGCAATCAAACACATTCAGTGATGTTGAGGTCTGGACTCTTGTGGTGTTGTGGTCAGTCCATTGTTCAGCTTCTTTGTTTGATGTGTCTGTCTCCTTTTCTCAGCGAGGTTCTTCTTGACAGTTACACATCCTTTCAGACCCATAGCGCTGAGTCGTCTTCTCACAGTGGAAGGATGGACAGAAACACCTGTGGATGTTTTCAGATCTGAAGCAGCTTGATTTTCTCCTCTCTCTCAAAGATGAAAGCTTTAAATGCTGTTTATCTGATTGGGGCAGTTTTGGTGTCTACCAGGTCTTCCAGGTGGTTGTTAGGAGGCCCATTTTCTCTGTAGTTTGAAATCCACTTTTGGAACCTCACTTCCCTTTGACCTTATCCTTTTTTGTGCAA